CGTAAATAAACTACTCTAACCCTGTTATTTATTTGTACAGCCGTAAGTTTTGGTATAAAAATTCTTTTTTCACGGGCTTATATCCAGCAGTAGCCATAATTGCCATGAATTCCTATAATATGTATTATCTTCATGATAACTCTTGATTAAATCCATTATTATCACTTTTCCCCAAAAATACAAGTTTTGTGCGTGAGATTTAATTGTGATGGTGGAGTATCTTGTGCGTGAACTACGTGAGTTGTTAATCGTGAATTGGTGGAGTATGGTGCTTTATATTGCTTAATTGTTTTAATAGGTAATCACACGAACCTATTTGGGAGATGTTTGTGTTATAGCATATGTAATCACACTGCCTTAATTAATTTTTTGACTTGTTTGATTATATATTGTTAGTATTAATTGTACTCCGTATTGTTATGTGTAAATTTTATAATTTGTGAATTATATACGATCATGATTTATATGTATATGATTAGTGTGTGGTATTATATGATTCTAATTGTCGTATTATTTTTGTCGCATTGATTGATTGTATTATTTCTAGGGTTTTAATGTTGTTGTTATAGGGAGTATTGTTTTATCAAGGTTTTAGGGTTGTTAATGCAGAGTATTATTTTTGGGTTGAGATATGATTATATTTGGGTTATTAGTATGTGTTTTAAGAGTTGAGATATTAAGAATCGAATTGTTATGTTATTTGGGAACATGTGCCAATATTGAGATATTATAAATTAATTTGTGAATGATTATTTGATCAAGTATGAGATCAAAAGGTTGAGAATTATTATTTTGTTCTTGGTTTGAGGTTCGGCGTTATATAACTTAGTCCTTGGCTTGTTGGTAAGAAGGTAATAATCATGAGTTAAGAATGAGGTACAATCTTTATTATTTATTTTTCTATGGTCCCCTACAGTGGTAATTGGTCCGTATGTGATCTGGTTTAAGGTATTTTCTAGTTATTGGGAGTATTCAAGTTTTTATACTTGTTGGTTTTATTCAAATTATCCATGTCCAAGGCTAGGTATAGAACAATGAGCATGGCACACTTATGGGATACATTGCGTAAAGGTTCGTATTATTATTCAAGGTTGAGTTGATAAAGGTTATTTTCCAGAGTACAATATGTAATGTAGTTTCGAACTACATTGCTTAAGTGAGTTAATTATATTAATTGTTATATTATTCTTTGTATTCTGATATGTGGTGATTACTCAGCTTTTTTGCTGACGTGTGTGTTATTTTGTTGTGCTATTTGTGTTTGCGGCCATGTCTTTTTCTTATGGTGGCCCTGCGACGATCTATTTTGGAATTTGTCCTTAATGGTGAGCAGTCAAGATTTTCTAACCAGGTTGATCAAGTGGTCGTAGCTAAAGGAGCTCAAGTGTTTCGATTAGTATGATGTCATGAGTTTATAAAGTTGTACAAATAGCTCACTTAGATTTATTGGGTTGTAATTATTGGGATATTGTAAGCCTTAACATTTGCAGGTTGTCGAGTGTGGCGGTAATACCTCTGATTTAGGTGTATGCTTCCGCAATTTTATTTAAAGGTTGGCTATTTTTCCTCGATTTATTGTTTATTATTAGTTAGTAAATCGGGGGTGTTACAGGTTGTGTTCTGGGGAAGGCTGTCGTCGGTGTTTTCAGGGGGTGGCCTTGGGTACGTAACCGCCGGCGGGAGGAGAGGGAAGGGGTGGGGGTGTTTAGCGGGAGGGGTTAGGGGGCTGACCGTGGTTAGATTTTTTTTCATTTTTGTTTAAATTGTTTTTTCTTTATTTTTTTTAAAAAATATTTTTTTAAGACCAATCAGAGCTTGAAACGTGTCAAGTAACCTATAATAATAGGTCATTGACTTTTGTTGACCGGTCATGACCTGATAAAAGAAAACGCTCCCTAAAGTTGGGATTATTAAGGAATAATCGATAGTAGGGATTAATTAAACTAAAGGAAAAATTGCGGAAAATAATACAACCTTTGGCCCATTTTTTTTTTATAATAATACAACCTTTAGATTAATTTTTAATAATACAACCTTTGAGGGGTTTTGTAGGGAATAGATTTCAAGCATTAACTCCTAGCTTGAACCCCACTGTGATCATACACTAAAATATGGTGGCGTCCTAAAGGAAAGAAGATAGAGCAAAAGAGTCGCCAACAAGTTTTAGGAACTTGTAAACCGTTCACAGGGTGAAGGTTACACCCCTTAACGATCCAAGAGTTCGTCAACTCCATAAGGTCTTGAACCAAATAAGGGTTCAGGGATGAAGGTACAAATCCAACCTAAAAGAGATTGAACCTGCCCTAATAACAGGCCCCTACTTTATTCTGATCGTATTCATGTGCGCTTTTCAATTAACATGCAATCAATAGGTTAACCCTAAACCTGTTTATCTATGTTGGTTGAATTTAATACACAAATAAATTATTATTGGCGATCACTTGAATTATAATCAAATTAACCCTAACAAGATTATTAATTATCTTATTAAGCGTGATTACAAGTACTAAATTCCCTTTAAACATGCAATAAAAGGTGTGATCAAGTAATAAAAATAAATAACCAAGCAACATAAAAATCATGACAATAAAATTAAAATCATCATAATAATAATAATCAAAATAATAATAATAATAATATTCATAATCATCATAAATTATATCAATTATAATCATAATCATGTTCATGTTAATATTAAAGCATAATAATAATAATAGTAAGATCCTAGGCATGATACTAACAAGATTAATAACAAACCCTAGCATGTCACTAAGCAATAAAAATCAAATCTTTAACCCTAACATGATACTAACAATCATAAATATTAGGAAGAACATAGAAGACATCATAACAATCATATTTAATATTAAATATTACCCTAGACATGATACTAGGAATATCATAATAACAATGTAAACATGATTTCTACATCATAACATCAATAAAAATCATTAAAGTACTTACTTTGATGTCTCGTACCTCTTTCTAATAACAAAATACACACGTTAGTAACTTCAAGGAAAATAATAATTAAAACAATTAAATTAAATAATTGAAATAGAGATTTGGGACCAACCCTCATAAATTAAACCTTTCACGTCTAGGGCGAAGACAACTTCGAATATGGCTAGGTGTTTCTAGATCTAACGAATGCGGAATTTTGTATGTAAAAGCAAGGTTTAGAAAAAGAGAAAGAGAGAGAAATGAAGTAATCAAGAAAACTTGATGAGAATTGGTGGATGATTAAGAGAGAATTAGAAAATTAATGATTGCGAATGAAAACTGATTGTAGGTGTATATAATTGAAAACTGGTTGTTGATGATTGAAAACGAAGTTTTTAATACGTTATTTATAGAGAAATCAGCCAAAAAGATAAAATATCAAAACAGAGCACTTGACGCACGTAAAACGAGATTGGCGCCAGGAAAACAGAGCTGGCGCCAGGCGCCAATGCCTGGAGTCAGGCGCCAGGCTTGTTTTTGACGCGTTTTCGAAAATCAGATAAGTTTGCCGTACTGGAGGATAAAATCGTATATTTTCTTCAAAAATGCTATTTGATTTTAATTAAAGCTCTGAAAAGTCAACAAAAGTCAATTTATCAATGCTAATTGAATTAGGAATGAAAAGAACCTTTAGAAGAATCTAGAAGACTAAAACCATTCCTAATTGCATTAGGAATGATAAATCATATTAGGCCCTCCTTAGATCATTGGGCCGCATATAAAGCTTAAAACGAGCCCAGTTTAGTAAATTGACCATAACTTCCTCAATATTCATCGAAATTGGGCTTATAATATATCGTTGGAAAGGTCTTTGCAAGCCCCATCCAACTACACTACTATTGGACCCATATCATGGACCAACCAAACTGGATTGGTTGTTTTCTTAAAATAAGTTTTCAAAAACAGAGAGAAGAGAAAAGAAATTAAAACTATCCGCAACACTAGACTTTCCACACTTTTGCTTCATTTGATTGTGATTCGACGTGAAAGGTACTCATCACTGGGTTTGGTTTTGGGGAGACACAAATGGGTGTCTACATGTTTCAATTTTAAACACGACAAAAAACTTGTAACCTTTAAAACTGGTTACCTAGGACACATGTCATAATGTAATTGGTCTAAATATTATTTTTTTTAAAAAAATTAATATGTAATTAATTTCAGAATTTTAATTTGTGATAAAAAAATTGTTTTTTTTTTCATGTCATTAGATTAAAATTTTTAACTAATAAAAAATCCAGCCACCATTTCCCTACCACGCAGCCACAACTTCCCCCACCACACAGCCACCTCCTCTCCACCTTCCCCACACGCAACCCTCCCCGACGACAGTACGGCTGGCGCCCAACTCGCCCCCCACCGAATCATCGCCGTTCATCGCCATCAATCAACACCAACATGGGCAACATCAACAAGCATCAAGAAATCACGACCCTTGGATTAATTGAATCAATCGAATTGGAGCGTCTTGCGGCCGCTGCTGTTCGATTTGGAGTGTTTGATGTGTTTGGTTGTTCGAATTGGAGCTTTTGATGTGTATGGATGTTCGAATTCGAGTAGTGTTTGAAGAGCAGGGGAGTTGGTTGGTGCGGTGGATGCAATAGATGAAGTGGCCTGGCAGGGTAATGGTGTTTACAATTGCTGCTGGTGGTCGAACTTTTGGTTGTTGGTTGAGAATCGGTGATTGCGGGTTGCATAGGTGCGAATTGATGGTGTTGTTGCGTGTGCAACTAAAGTTGTGGTGTTGGTCGTGGTGGAGTTGGTTGCGCGATGGGGGTTTCGCTGGCAGGGGTGGCGTGATGGGGTTAAAGGGGAAGGGAGAGGGTAGGTCGGCCGGCGGCGGTGGGGAAGCTGGGCGCCGACCGACCGGCGCTTGGAGGACTGCGTGTGGGAATGTGGAGGAGGTGGCTGCGAAGTGGGGGAGGGGGTGGGTGGGGTTTTTTTTTTATAATTTTGTTAATAATAATAATAAAAAATTAATACTAAAATAATAATTTATTAATTAAATTGACAAAACCAATAAAACAATGACATGTGTCATGGTGACCTACAAAAACAAGTTACCAACAGGTTATGTCTTGTTTAAAATTAACACCCCTCAAAGGTTGTATTATTAAAAATTAATCCAAAGGTTGTATTATTTTAAAAAAACCGGCCAAAAGTTGTATTATTTTCCACAATTTTTCCTAAACTAAATGGTCCGAAGTTGGGATTAAAAATAACAAATTTTCCTTTTGTTGTAGGAATGAAAGTATGATTATTCACTAAAACATTTTTTTTTTTGAATAATCATACTTTCATTCCCTAAAATACATGTTTGTAAGGTCGTAAGGTTGATAGCAATTTAGTACCCGTGTTTGTAAGTATGGATAGATAATCCTCATATGAAGCAAATTTTGTTATTTGGATATAATTTAGAGTTTACATTTTTCAGGTTGTGTTTTTTGTTTTAAGGCACTCATGTCATTGCTAGTACATGTTTAACTGCCCAACTAATCTCTTTTTTTTGAAAAAAAATTTAAAAAAAAAGAAGAAAAAGGTGCCCAACTAATCTATGTAGTATTTTTTACAAAGATTTTGGTCTAAAATGAATTTATAAGTGTTCTACCCATGTATGAGTGTTGAGAGTCCAACATGAGTAATTAAAATGAAAACACTTCTAAACTTGGCTAGTTTTAATTTCAAGCTCTTAATTTTAGTGATATAATTGGACAACTATTATCTATTTTCAATCAAACAAACTAATTATAACAAATAGGCCACGTGAAGTGATCCAATAATACTTCCTCCTTTTTTTTTAGTTGACACCATTGGGTTTGGCACACAATTTAAGACAAGGAGAGAGAGTGTAAAAAGAGAGGGGTATTGCATGTCTTTTTAAGCTAATTGAAAAGGTGAGTGGGGTTCCTTTTTAAGCTAATTGAAAAAGTGAGTGGGAATCCTTTAGTAATAAATCTACCGTGACACTATTTTTTGATGAAGGAGCTAAATTTTTTTTGTAGTTTCCCTCCAAACTTTTTAATGAAAATTTAAATTTTCACATTTACTTTACAACTTTACAATTCAAAATTGAGGGGATATTTTTACCTACTATAAAAGCAGTACAATAACATTAAATTTCCTCCCCAAAAACTACTCCAAAAAAACTTCACAGCACACACATGCACACATTCAGGTCCAATATTCATGAAGATGTTGATACTACAAATGTCATGGGGGAGGAATTTTCAGTTGAAGAACTGCAAGAACTTGAAGCTGCTACACAGTGGCCGGAAGGGGATGCTGATGCACATGATTCCCAGAGTGATGATGATGAGGTATGGTTTTGTAGTGAAGCTGAAACTGATAGTGATGATGATAATAATCTGAATACAAATGAAACAGAGTTGCATGTTAATGAAGGTAATCCCAACTTAGCTAATAAAAAAACCAGAAATGACCAACAAAAAAAGAACTCATTTAGCACAGAGACTTATGGCATTATCTACTGATTGGGATATAAAAAGAGGTGGACTTAAGCAATGTCAGGATGAGTTCAATCTAAGTAGATCAATTGTATGTAGAATGTGGAGAGTTGTAAGAGAACAAGGGAAAAATGGTATTGAACTGATTAATGTTCAACATAAAAAAACTGGTAGAGTAGGTAGAAAACAAAGAGACTTTGATACTGAAATTTTACTTGCAATCAGCCAAAAACAAAGAACCACCTTAGAAGCTTTGCAGTAGCATTAGAATGTTGTGTTTCCACTGTCCATAAGCTGCTCAAAAAGGGGATAATCAGGTCACATACCAACTCTATTAGGCCTACAGTTTCAGCTGCACACAAAATACAGAGATTGAAATGGATATTGGGTCTCACTCTTCCTAGATCAGTCACTCAACAATCAACATTTGTGAATTTATCCAATTTTGTGCACATCGACGAGAAGTGGTTTTTTATGAGCAAGAACACACAGAGGTATTACCTACTTGCAGGAGAAGAGGGAGAATAAGATCCATATAGACATGTGCAGTCCAAAAACTTCACTGAGAAGGTCATATTTTTAGCAGGGGTTGGATCACTGCTTTTTCAACACAATGGGGAAGTCACTTTTGATGGAAAATTAGGGATTTGGGAATTCACAGAGGAAGTAGCAGCCATCAGATCAAGCAAGAACAGGGAGAAAGGGACTATTGAAACCAAGCCAACACAATCTATCACCAAGGCTGTCATTAGAAGGAAGATGATTGATGAATTATTACCAGCAATTAGAGCCAAGTGGCCAAGTAATGCATGTAAGACAATTTGGATACAACAAGATAATGCGAGGCCACATATATCCCCTAATGATGTTGAGTTTTTAGAAGAAGCAAACAAAGATGGGTTTAGTATGCACTTAATCTGTCAGCCCCCTCAATCCCCGGATTTGAATATTTTGGATTTGGGATTTTTTAGGGCTATACAGTCAATACAACATCAAAAATTCCTAACTAATGTGACTGAACTAGTGAAATCAGTGAAAGAAGCTTATGCAGAGTATGAGCCTAAGAGTCTCAGTTACACTTGGTTACAACTACAGTATGTAATGGTTGAAATACTCAAGGATATGGGCGGGAACAAGTACAAGAACCCACATCATGGTAAGAAAAGACTTGATCGACTTGCCTTGCTTCCTACAACTGTTGACATTTCTAATGAAATTATAGAATCAGTCGTGGATTTTTTGAATGAAGGGTTTGTGGCAGCTCCAGCTACAAATGGTCAAGACTATGAAATGGAAGATGCAATTTAAGTCTCAATTCCGTGTAGTACAAAGACAATCTACACATCTTTTGTAGTACAAGGCTTGATAATTTTTTGCAAGGGGGGATGATTAATTATAGTAGTTGTAGTAGTATTATTACTAGACAATTAACTTGAGAATGACCTTAGAATGTACTCCTAAGAGATAGGTAAGATCCCACTTTAATTTTGTATATGCAGTACAGATTAACTGGTTTCCTTAAACACATGCTGTACTTTTTTTGTAAAAAACATGGATATATGAATGATTTATGGTACTTTGTTTTTAATTTTTGTATGAGCATAAACGAAACTATACTATCAAAGAGTTATACTCACCAACAAGGACTAAAACTAATTACCAACATGCAAGTTCATTCAATCATCAAATATCCCCATAAATCATACACATAATTATCATTCAAAAGCATAACTTTTTAAGAGGTAAGCTTTTGAAGAAATTAAATTTAAAACAGAAAATTAGAGCAGATACCAATAATGTCACCTACTTTTTGAGATATTTTTTTCATCTATGTCACCCAATCTTGAAGGCGATTGAAACAATTTCCTCCTTCTACTATAAGTGGAAATTGGGTACAAATTATCATCCATACTCAACACCACATCATCTGGTGTTTCAGGGACAACCATTGTGTCTTTGGTATGCCTATCACGAACATACAAACATGGAACATTGCCTGAATCATTCCACGCACACGGATCAGTGGGAGGAGAAGTAGTATGCTCATCATTGTCCCCTTTAATTGGGGTTTTAGGTGACTCAGAACTCATTAGATTGTTGATATACTCTGAATCAAGGTTCAAAATAGAAAAAGGTTGGATCGAAATATTTTGCTACCAAGTTTCATTCTCCCAAGGATAAGTCTCAGGCAGAAATTCTGCTAGTGAAGAAGCCGCAATTATCTTCTTCTGCTCCTTTGTAAGAGTATACTCCTTTCCCTTCTTTGAAAGAACAATCGGCTTCCCCTTTTCCATTACAGGAAAAATTTGATTTTTTTTTTTTTTAATTTTGGAAGGAGAAAAAATTTGAGTTAGATTACCTCAAATTAAGGAAAGATAATTAAAGAGAGTAAGAATTGCATATAGATTTGTGGATTTTCAAAGATATTTGAGGAGAGAGAAAGTGGTAGAATTTTCTAGATGAACTTCAAGAACACAATTAAGAGCTCTGGTAGGAGTCCCCTCAAACAAACAAAAAAAAGATGTCTGGGAGGAAGACGTGGGTAAGTGGGTTTATTGCCAACAATCAAAGTAGAGTAGTTAGGTGGGTGGGATGTCATAAAAGAGTAGGGAGTGATTAGTTATAATCAACAATTATATGTTTAAACAAAGGATGTTTAGGATATAATCTGTTTTTTTTATTAAGGGTAAAATAGGAAATTCACCCTAAAAAACTTACCAAAAAAGGAAATATAAACTTCCCAAAAAGGAATAGGTGTCAACTAAAAAAACTGAGGAAGTATAAGTTATATATTCTATCCAACTATCCAAGTCCGAAGAAACCAAAATCAAGGGATTGCAATTTGCATACAAACAAGGTAACAAACTAACAACTACTCTAGAAACCCCTATTCTTATCTTCCACCGCCCCACCGCCTCCTCACTTACCTCAACCCCTATACGTCGGCGATCGGCGCCTCAATCTTAGCCATTGCCGCTACTCTTTTCTGTTAGTTTAATTTTTGTTTTCATTTTTGGCATTTTCAAGCAAAGAAACAGAGGAGTTGCAAATTGGTTTTGTTTTTCGGGTCCATTAGGGATTCAAACAAATTTGGGTGTGTCGTCAAGTGTTTAAATATCTTATTTTCCAACAAATTCAAAAGCCAAGGCTGTTCTTCTTGCATAGTTTGTTCTCTTTGCTGTGTTATGCTTTCCAGGGGTAGTGTTATTTGGTGTCCACAAGAGGAGGGTGGTTTTGCGGGGAGAGGTTTGTTTGCCTTTTCTGGTTCTTTTAGGTTGTGGGATGATTTGGGTATTCATTCAGTTACAATCATCCCATTATTGGTGTTGATGATAACAGAGATAGTCATTAATGTTAATCTAAATCTTGTAGGAGGCTCCTAATCTTTAATGTTTGGGGTAAGCAAAGTCCTCCATTCTCTTGCACTCTATGTTAGTAGAGTAGCAGGAAAGGAACCTGCATTTTGGTGCCAGGTTTCTCATGGCAGAGTCGTTTAAACACACGACACTTTTAGTTTTGTTCCTGGACTCCTAAGAAGTAGCTATGCTTTTCATTACCTGGGAGTGGAATCATGTCAAGGGTTTTTACAGCACCAGGGTGCATTCATCGCAAATTGCCTTAGGAGCCATTGCAAGTTTCGGTTCTATTCAACCTGCGATCAAGGTCTATCTCGAGGTATCCAGGTCATTTAGCAATTCTCGTTCCACAATAAGGTTTTGGTAAGGTTTTTATGGTTGTCCAAGCTCCAGAGTAAATGGTATGGTGCAATGCTTTTCAGATTATATCATATACTTCGGTCTTCCTCCACAAGGTGTTCTTTTGTTGTCTGTGTGTTTAAGTTGGTGTTTGTATGTCTTTACTTAGTTCTTAGGTTGTAATTTATCTTTGTTATTTATTTATGAAGCTCTTTTGTAATTTATCTTTGTTATTTATTTATGAAGCTCACATCACCTTTCTTATGTATTGTGTGCTACATCATTCATCAAGTATTATAAACATGTTTTAATGGCAATGATAATGTTTATCACAAGGTTTGTACACGAGACCAATAAGACATAATTGTCTACAATCTCTACTATCTTTTAATTATTTTTTACATTCAATGATAATATGAAAAATACTTTGTATAAAATATCAATTTGAGAGCACTTATTTATTTTCATAGTTATTATTGTTCACTTTTCTATAATTATATAGTTTATTTTTTTCAAAACAAAAAAATATAGTTTATATTTTATAGCTCAAATATTATTTATATATTGATATTCACTGTAAAACTCAGTGCATCGCCTGGGCCACACACTAATTATGTTCTCTAAAACGCGTCTTAAAATGTACTTGCATATATTTTCATTTCTATACGTGTAAAAATTTAAAACTTTTGAATCCAATATAAATAGGACAATCTACGTGAGTATATAATCTTTTATACATTAATAAGAATTTATGGTTAAAGTTTTCAAAGATTGGGACAATGGAGCAAAATATATGGGAAAATATATGCTAGTACCCCTATGTCCCTAATATTTTGCCCTATTTGGCTTCATGTGGTCTTCAAAACGTGTATCGTAAAAATTACTCCCTCCGTCTCATAATACTTAGTACGTTGGGGTAGACACGTAGTTTAAGAAAACTACAAGTGCGTTCATTAAAACACATTTGTTTATTATACTACCTTCGATTTTTTTAGTTGCAACTTTGGGGTATTATTTGAGAGAGATAAAATATTCCAAAGTTGCAACTAAAAAAAATCAGAGGTAGTATAAAAGATTCTCTTTTATTTATATTGTAAGAAAAGAACGAGTAGGGAAGGGATGGCAACGGGTCGGTTGGATTCGAATCTAGATTCGTTGTTGTATCTACAATCCAGATCCGACCGGAATCCATTGGGTCTAGAAAATAGAGACTCGGATCCAAATCTGAGGGGTCCAATTGATCCGGATCCAATATATTTTGCCTAGTTTTTTGAAAATAAATGTAATGTTTGGGTCAAAAATGCATTTCGAATTTCCGTGAGGGTTATTAAGTTCAACCTAAATTAAAGTTATACAACTAATCTAATAACATAAAGTAACCAAATTATACACTTAATTTTGAAATAAAAATTATAAACAACGAAAAAAGTACGATGTTATAAACGAGTAAGTGAAAAAACAATGATGATGTATCCGATATGAACATCCAAAATTCATCTCTTGATAGGGCTTATCTTTATCACTACTAACATTATCAACATTTATAATAAAAAAATTTATTAGTTTTTTTATAATAAAAATTAAAAAACGGGTAAACGAATCTAGGTTCGGGTCTAAGGGTTAGACCCGGATCCAGATCCATTTTTTCCAGCAAGATCCGAATTCGACGGGTCCAAATTTTGAAGACCATATTTGTGAAAAATGAATCTGAGTCAAGTCCAGATCCATTGCTATCTCTAAGTGGGGTGGAAGTAGGGTAGCTGAGGATATATATATATATATATATATATATATATATATATATATATATATATATATATATATATATATATATATATATATATATATATAGGTTTCATTTCATATTTAGTAATGTATCATGTATTGTGAGATGGACGAAAATGAGAACCGTGTCGAGTATTATGGGACGGATTGAGTATAAAAACTGATAATAAAACAATATCCACACGACTATATTACGAGCCTGTTCTGATTAAGTGAAATGAGCTGAACTTAACTAAACTAAACTGAACTGAATATTTTATGACTTATGAGAGAAGAAAATTAAGAAATAAACCGAACTTATTAGAGGTTCACACGACTATATTACGAGCCTGTTCTGATTAAGAGAAATGAGGTGAACTAAACTGAACTGAATATTTTATGACTTATGAGAGAAGAAAATTAAGAAATAAACCGAATTTATTGGAGCTGAACTGAAGTAAATATAAGGTGAAGAAAACAGACCCTACATCTTAAAAATTAACGGATCAAATGTTTTTAAGCTTTATCCAAATATTTAATTTTATGGTCAATTATACAATTAATAACGGAGAGAGTAATATTTTAGTAACATTTTTGTTACAATTTCACAGGTTCACACTTAAGCTACGATGTACGTAACAATCATCAGTTTGCTAAGAGAGCTTCGGCATTATCGAATTTTCTCCCATTAAAATCTGACTTTCTCTCTCCTCTTCCCTTCATTGTTATACGAAAGATGTCTTCTCTATCCAGCTCTCTGGTCTTGGCTCGTAACTCCCCTTCTCAGCTTTCATCTGGTAATTATTTAAACTTGATCTTTTCAGCTGCTTAGTCATATTATTATCATACACTGTTTATTAATTGTAATGTCTTTAGTTGCTGTAATTGGGGTTTATAAGTAATTTAATTGATCATTTTACTGGTATTTTGATGTGGGTATCTTTGATTTGATGCATATTGTTGTTGAATTAGATTATGGCTAAATGTGGTTATGCCTTTTGAATTCAGTTTGATCGAATTTTAATGGGTTAAAATGGGTCGAACTCTTAGTTACAGACAGTTTTCAATTTATAGATAAATGGGGTTTTGACAAGAAGGTGCAATTTTACCCAGAAATACCAAAAACAATCATATTGGGGGGGGGGGGGGTAGTATTGTAGTAAGGATACAGTCAATGGAAAGTCTATTTTGATATTTGTTGAGTAGATTGATTTATTGAATAGCTTGGTCGACTTATTCAGTAAGATTGCTTAGGATTTTAGGTTGCCTACGTCTAGACCTTCCCGGACCTGGACCCGGACCCAGACCATGCTTTAATTGCCGGGGGGTTGTTCTTTGTTTGGACTACTTGCCTACCTGGGACCATCTCATGTTGAGGGATTGAGGTTGTTGCTTAAGGAGTCTTTGTAGGATATACACGATTCTCTCGTTATTTATGGTTTAGGTGATTGTGCTGTAATGTTCCAGCCCCATTGGTTATACAAAATTATCGATAGAGATATTCATGTGAATGGATATGAGATGTACTGGTCTCTTGTGGTTGAATTGTAGAAGTTTCAGCTCCATTGATTTTATTTTTACATTCATAGGTAGGCATGAGTGGATAAACTAAATTGGAGATGGAATTGTCTTGTGTAATTGTAGTAAAATGAAGCTTGCAATTCACAGCAATTGCTAAATCATTTAACATATTGGCATCATTGATAAGATTATTCACTTATGTGCTTTTGTTCCGTTTGTGCTTATGCTATCTTTGCCTCCTCGGCTGTTGTTGAAGGTGAAGCCTAATGCTAATCCTTTTTGTTTGAATCCCTTGGTTGACTTTGCATTTGTATTGCACTCCCTATATTTTTTCTTATAAAATCCGAAAGACACAAAAGGCACATGTAATTTTAGTTCTTATTTGACTGAAGTTTTCATACCTTAAATCCTGAAGTGTGTGATTCAGATGAGCATGTTCTGCGAGTTTCTTGTCTTAACTCTTATATCATGAAACATGTTTGACTTCTTGTTGTCCTGTATCTGTGGTGGGTTTTTTTCATTTTTGTTCTCTGATTATAATTGAATGGGTGTTTAGGTTATTCTTTCCAGCAGTCAGATCGAGTATTGTGCCCAACCAACTCAAGCTTCTCTCCACTTCATACCAAAAAGGCTACACAAAAACCTCTTGTTGTCCAGGCTTCCTATAGGTATTACTGTTTCTCTCAAACGTGCTCTCACAATTATATTAGTTTCTGATGGAGCTGCAATGAACATCACACTGAAGGCTACATGATTGTTGGGAAAATCATGATGTGTCTGATGTTTGGCTTTTGTAGTTTTATTATGCTCTCATATTCTTTCTTCTAGAATTATTGGCCAATCCAATTCTCACCTTCTTACAAGGTTACAAGGCTTAGGTGTTTATGTAAGTGAGTTACTGGGTAGGAAATATAGGGAAGAATTGGCAAAAAAGGGACAATCTCTTAGGGTTTGAGAAGTTTTTCCAAATCTAAAGAGTGTTCATGATCACCATATTTCATAAGTTTTATCAGGAGTTTGAGTTTAATAATCTAGTCCACATGTTGAATTTGTTTAATTTGTGACAGTGACGGTGGTAGGCCCAGCAGTGCAAGCGTTTTTGTTAGTGGGTTCGTTCTGGGAGGACTAGTTGTTGGTACCCTTGGCTGTGTGTATGCACCCCAGGTATGCTTAATTCAATGCGTGATTATATTCTGGCAATTTATGTTATCCTTGCCGTGTCCTATCTATTTTAAACTTGTGAATTGTGAAGCATGGTAAGAGTGTTGTATTGAGTGTGCTGATTTATACCTTGTTCTCATCATTGATCTAGAAAAGAAAGATTCTTTGGATGTTTTTGAATGCACATGTCTTGTGGTTACCTGACCTGAAGCTTGCACATTGTTGGCAATTCCATAATGAAATGAAAAAATAGGAAAAAAGGTAGTCCATGGGAAGGCTACTTTGAGACAAAATTTATGCTGTATCTAACCGGTTCTCCATTCTTGGAACATGAAATAGTGGCAATTAGTGGCTAGTTATGTGTGTGATGTTATGGGATTTTAACCTAAGTTGGCAGTAATTGTTCAGTTGCTCAAAGATACTATATTCTATACACTATACTTACAATTGAGCTTTCAAGGCTCACATCATTGCTTTAGTTCACAAGATTTTTGAAATCCCCCTCTTGCGGATTAGGTTAGATGTAATATTTGCATCGTTGGTAGATTTATGCAGAGGTGTGCTGATCTCCTTTATGTAAGCTGGATCTTCTCCTTTACGATTGATTGATAGTTGTTTTTAGTGCAGTTTAGTGAGTGTAAACATCCTCTTGGAAGTCTTAAGAGTTTGGCAGTACTTTAGCTCTTGATTATTTTGGAGTGAATAGACCAGATAATTTAGTGGCATAGTAAGAGTAACTTTTTAATTTGGCTACGATTGAAAGAAGATTCAAACTAAGGATGCTCTTGAGTAAATGACCTTTTTTCATCCCAAGTGGCCAAGTTGCAATTTGTGTCTTAAGGATGAAGAATATGTTGGTCTTTTTTATCCTTCATGAATACATTCTCTTGTTATAGGGATTTAGGGGTGCACTTGGAAAGGAAAAACCAACTGATTGCTTCCGCTAAGGTTTCAAATTCTACTTTAGGTTTTTGTGTAGCCTGAGTCAAATTTAAAATTGTGCGAGCTGTTACTCAGACTTTTTTGAGTCCAAGTCCGATCCAAAATTTCAGTCATCAATCCTTTTTATGCCAACTACCTATTTCAGGAAAAAAAAAAAAAAAAAAAAACAATGTTTGGTTAAAAGTTATAGAGTCCCGTATTTGTGCCTGAACCTATAGCACTAGTTCAAACAGAAGGGACTTGTGGCTGTCCAAGCACATTCATCAGTAAATTCCTTAATCAAATTGCAGTGTTGCAATACTATTTTTAGTATGCTCAATATATTAGCACACCAGTGACTCTATGCTTGGTAATGTAATTATGTGATTGACTTTCGTCCTGGAGTGTTTAAAATAATGTTTTTGCTATCTTTTTTCTTTCCTGCTTTTGCCTTGTCATACTCATATATAAGAAATGTGACATGTGATTCTTTTTGACACTCTATCTTATACTTAATAATAAGAAATATATGCTAATTCTGTTACTTCACTTATTTGATAGATAAGTAAGGCTCTTGCTGGAGCTGACAAAAAGGATTTGATGCGGAAACTACCAAAATTTATCTATGACGAGGAGAAAGCTTTGGAGGTAATTGATTACTCATTCAAGTAAATAATATATTGCTAGAGGCTGGATACATGCTGCTTTCGTGTCACCAAATGCATTTTTATACATCTTTGTAGCTTTGGCTTTCTTCCAACTTTCCTCAAGCTTGACCTACTTAGATTTTGACCATTTTGTCCTCTATGTTGTAGAAAAATGTCCTGAAGATGCTTAGACCTTTCTACATACCATTTTGTCCCCTGCTTTTTACAGGGGTGTGAGGAATATCCTGGAAATCTGGAAATTCAAATAGGGTAGACAACTTATTAAACCAAAGATTGTACATGTTTATTAAGACAATGTCTCCAAGTTTTACATTGTGGCGATGTTAAATATAACACTCTGCTTAACAAAACAAAGAGCAATATTAAATTTATGCCTTGGTATGAAGATGGAACCCATGAAGCCATGACTAATACCATCCGTACTAAAACATTCATGTAAAGCAAAAGCAAATGACACAAAGCTACGACCTAATGCTTGGCAATTTCCTAGTATTTATTATTTTTTTTTCCCTATACTGAGTAGAGGTAGACAAGTGCCTACCCTTATTTCTATGTAGATCAGCTATGGTGAGGAGGGCGGGACCTTGGTGATATAGTTTTTGTCCCAGAACCAATTTCCAATATCATAATATTCCGAAAGAAGAATTCATTTATTTAAACCAGCAAGTGTATCAAGTGAATCTTTCTTCTTCTTCTGCCTATTCTGAAGTCTGAAAATGACTAAATTTGTTTGTGTGGCTCTTCTTTCCTATTATTTTTTTGGTCACTGCTTGTAGAAAGGTACTCAACTAATTTATATATGCCATAACTTATTTTTTCCCACTATGTTTCTTACCCCTGTTTATGAAAATATTTTCTGGCGGATCTCTTGAAGCAGCCCCTTTCTATATTTTTGTGTGGTTAGATGTTGGGCTGCTAAATCTCTGACCCGTGAGTGGAAGAAGCTATTGTGTTTGAAATTTTTGGTCATGTTTTGAATGTCCAGTACTAGTTGTTATCCTATTTCTTGGTGTCAGAGCTTTGATAAAATACTGATCATATTCCAAAAACAGTTTGCTTTACGGTAGTGTTTCTAATCATGTCTTCCCTCCATCCCTATTATTTTGCCCCATTGTTAATATTAGGTCAAGCTTTGAAAACTTTGACCCTAAATTCCGGTTAATATATAAACAAGTTTATAATCATGCGGGATCTTGTTGGATTTTATTTATATCAAGTTCTTAAAATTTTTACGTGTATTTTTTTTTGAATAACAAAAATATTTCATTAATTAAAAGTCATACGACATCTATAATAGAAATTCGACGTTAACAAATACATAAAATATTGAATCAAATAAAATTTTCCTTCATAAAAACTACGATCGTCAAATAGATCTTGCACTGCGGAGCATCTCCTGCTTATATCGCTGAAAATTACCGCCTTGTTGGAGAGACAATCTAACGATCCCTTATAGCCGTGATAATATTTTCCTTCTGATTCATCTGCTCGTATTCGAAAACTTGATAATTTTTTCACCAACGAAATAATTTCACGACAATCCATTAGATCTGCTACCATGAATTCAAAACTAAGAAATTTCTCCCTCGAAAAGAGGAGATAAACCTTGTCTTTCGAAGGAGGTCGAAAAACCCTTGTCTTTCGAAGGAGATCGGAAACCCTTTCTTTCGAGGGAGAAAAGTTTCTCCCAAAAGGAGGAAGCATTATTATAAGCCTAAAAAAACAATAAAGAAACAAGGATTGGGGCTTTCCACCGATTAAAATCGATGGAAGCCCCTTCAAAATTCAACAATGGAGGCTAGGGTTTTGGAGAGAGAAAGGAGGAAAAAGGAGGAGGTTAACTTAAATTTTTTACGTGTATAGAAATGAAGATATATGCCTTTTAAGACGCATCTTGGAGTCCATGATAAGTCATATGGGGATAAAAAATAAGTGACAAAGGGAGTAGCAAGCTTTAGTATATAGTGTTTTAGAATTTTGTTTTGTTCAATTGTTCCTCTTCCAAATTAATCTCTAAATGCCGGTATACTGTTGTATTCTGTTGGAACTAGAAGTTGTACTCTTTTTTCTGTTTTTAAATCTTGAAATTATCCCTCAATCGTTCAATGTATTATGTCGAAGTTTTGCCCTCTAATGTATATCTTGATTAGTCTAATCTTTTATGCACTCTCAGCATATTTTGATAAATTTCAAATGTGTTTTATGTCAGCCAATATTTGAAAGTTTCATAAATTTGTAGGATTAAATTATAACTATACATTTTTAGGCTTTATTTGGTAAAATTTGGCAAAATGGTTGTTGAAAGATGAAAAGCTATTTGGTGCTTGTGAAACTGCTAGTTAAATCTGAAAAGTTGTTAAAGCTAGTTGAATGTATTAAAAGTGTATGATAAAAGAAGCTGTTGAATTCGTAATAAAGAATAGAAAGACATTTAAGGAGAATGATGCTATGTAATTTTTAAATATGATGGGGTTTATGCTGAAATTAATTCATGATAAGCTTGATTAAATTCTAACAGATTAAGAACTAATATACAAGTTCGAGTTTAAGAAGCTGTACTTGTGCACTGTATAATAAAATAATGCTGAGTTCAGTGAGTTGGTTTGTTGACCAAATTGGTAAGCTATCACCAGAATTCTTGTCAAGTATATTCTATAGTTTTACAGGCTGAATATGATACCTCAGAATGGGAGTGGAAGATTTTTGAACATTCCTATGTACTCATCAACCATGAAACTTTTTATATTTTCTGTCGCCTCTTATCATGGCTGAACAATTTTTTGATGGTTGCTGCTGCAGAGGACAAGAAAAATCTTGACTGAGAAAATTGATCAGTTGAACTCTGCTATTGATGATGTGTCATCTCAGCTGCGCTCTGATGGTACCCCAAATGGAGCTGCCGTGACCTCTGATGAAATTGAAGCTACCATATAACTTGTCAAATCATGTTCTTCTATTCATGTGCGTCTTAATCAGCAAATATACATTTTGGAAAGATTAGCAGTGTACTAGTGAAATTTGATGTTGAAGCTCACTCCGTAGTGGTAATATATTGTCTTTGGAACAAATTGTCGGATTTGCTGTTCAGCTATTATGATAAGTGCCCAAATATTCTACACACTGAAGTAGCAAATTAGCAAGTTTGTGTCTACTTTGGATGTTTGTAATTGGTTAGTATTCTAGCTGTGCGAGTTGCTCCAGCTTTAGCACCGAGTATGTAGTAGCACAGGATATCACCCCTCATGTGAGGCTTGAAAGGCATACCTGCATTCTTTTTTTAAATTTACGAGACAATTATTCTTGAGATGATAATCATTCAACAAAAGGGTAAAGGAGATGCTGTCACCTTTTGATGTAAGACTAATAGATTGTCCGAAATTCAGTCTGTAACTTTATATCAAGTATGTAATTGGATAGTGACTTAGCTGCAGCAGGGTTAGCCTTTTGCATCCAGATTTCAGGCCACAGACAGGTTTAATTTCGGTCTCGTCATGTACTGAATATCTCCACTAAATTTCTGGTCTTTGAAGTGCCAGTCAAACTTGAGACCTTTACCAGACAGGCAGACACCCTTGGGTTAGATATTGTGATGCTATCTACTATAGAAACTTGGCTCAAAACATATCCATTTCTCTTTTCTGATCATAATGCACCTGATGTGTTAACATACGAATATTATGATTAATGAATTGTTAAATAAATTGAAATTATTATTATTATTTTTTCTTAAAAAAACTGTCTACATCTGGATCACTAAAATGGAATAGTGCATGAAGCCATGAACTAATTAATCATTCAGGGCGGGACGGTACATAGGCTAGTCCTAGGTCTTAATTATCGTGGGTCCAAACGAGCCTAATGATTCAGTTAAAATTTCCTAATTAATTAATTAATTAAGGCCTTAAGGGCCTGATTAGTGTCCGGGCCTTAATTATTGAGACAGACCCCAACTCAACCATCTGCATCCCCGGTCCAAGCCGTGTACGAGCTGGTGCCAAGAAAGATATTTGTGGCTTGTGGGTATATCCAGATGCTGTGGGATACAACACCCATTATTGGCTCAGATTGTAAAGCTGAGGCACCATATATCATCTTATCTCTTCATGTTTTGTTGATATACCATCCCAAGTTCTCTACCACTCATTTCTTCAGTGCATTTGGAACCATAATATTCAAACTTTTTTTTTATCAGACAAATCAGTATGTGGTAAGAAATTATATGGTATAAATCTAAATCATTAATATATCTGCCAGAAAGTGTGAGCTTACTTCTTCTCTAGTTGCTGGCCACAGTTGAATAGAATCAACCATGGCCTCTCATGCAGCTCTAGCTCCATCAAGAATCCCTGCAAGCACAAGACTCTCATCCAAGGCTTCTCAGCAGAACTCCTTTCCTACTCAATGCTCCTTTAAGGTCTTTTACTGTTTTCATTGTTGTTGCTTTTGTTCTTTGGTTGTTTGGTGTTGATCAAATTCATTATGCTAATGCAGAAACTTGAAGTAGCTGATTTCTCGGGGCTGCGAACCAGCAACTGCGTGACATTCACCCGGGAGGCTTCATTTCATGATGTTATAGCTTCCCAGCTAACTACCAAGGTATATCCTATGCTACAGATTGTGTTTTAGTATGCAGTAAAGAATTTGTCTTTCCCTGATGAATATGTGTTTGTTTTGATAATCTAGCCTACAGGAGCAGCTCCTGTTAGGGGTGAGACAGTGGCTAAGCTTAAGGTGGCAATCAATGGATTTGGACGCATTGGTAGGAACTTCCTTAGGTGCTGGCACGGCCGTAAGGACTCTCCCCTTGATGTTGTTGTTGTCAACGACAGTGGAGGTGTCAAGAATGTAAGTGTTATTTTTACACAAAGTTAGATAATTGAAATAATGATTTTTACAGATGACAAGAATATAGGCTTACTATGGATATGAATTTTTATATATTTTGCTGTTAATGTAGGCGACACACTTGCTTAAGTATGACTCCATACTAGGCACCTTCAAGGCTGATATTAAAATTGTTGACAACGAAACCTTTACTGTCGATGGCAAGCCTATCAAGGTTGTCTCTGGCAGGGACCCTCTTAAACTCCCTTGGGCTGATCTTGGCATTGATATTGTTATTGAGGTAATCTTCTTTTTCACATTATTTTGATTTTGTGAAGCTGAGAATGTGTAAATCATAGAAAATTATAAATTTCAATATAGTAAACTTTTACTATAAGATGAAAATTAAGTCTGGTTGGTTAATGGTTTATACCTAGTAAGCTTTAACTATGTCAGATAAATCTCACCTGATTATCTAAATATATATGCAATGCTGTCGTATTGCATGTAAACGATTCTGATATGATGGTCGCGTCCTGTAATAAATAGGGAACGGGAGTCTTTGTTGATGGTCCTGGTGCTGGCAAACACATTCAAGCTGGTGCCAAGAAAGTAATCATCACTGCTCCTGCTAAGGGCTCTGATATCCCGACCTATGTTGTTGGAGTAAATGAGGGAGATTACTCTCACGATGTTGCAAACATCATAAGGTTTGTAACCCTCAAGTTATATGTAACTATAACTCCAAAATGTTGTACAGCATTAATTCCTACCTTTTTTTTCTTATGTAAATGATCATTGATTTTATGTTGGAACATTAAACGTGAAATTGATTAGAAGTTCTCCATAATCTGCAGCAATGCTTCTTGCACCACCAACTGTTTAGCTCCTTTTGTGAAGGTCATGGATGAAGAATTAGGTAAGCACCAAAGAGTTAATAACCCGATGCATCAATCTAGATATATTTGACAAAATCTCTGCCAAGGAAATATACACTGGCTGTTTCTGTCACCTGATTGTAGCTCAGATCCTATTTAACATATTCAGTATAAAATATTAGTGATTAGTAAATTCTACGGAGTATATCTTATACTGGAATTTGCTTGCAGGAATTGTAAAGGGGACAATGACCACCACTCACTCTTACACTGGTGACCAGGTGATGACTCATTAACATCAGTGGTTCTATTGAAAAATAAAGTTGGTTCTTTTTGATGGACAATTTATTGCACAGTCTGCTTCATTATAGTACTTGGACTCTGAAGATTAGGGCAGAGTGCGGATTGGATCCAATTCATCCAACTTGTTCTTTAATTTCTGTCTGTTTTTAGTTTTTTACATATTAGTCTAGTGAAATTGTTTCCCTGACGTCTCTTTGAACTGTCACTCTATCAACTACTTAGTAGTAGGCCATACTATTTTCTTCTTTAGACAAAAGTATGATTTGATTGATCCTAAATAATTTTTTGTTGGTTGCTACAGAGACTCTTGGATGCTTCCCACAGGGACTTGAGAAGAGCCAGGGCTGCAGCGCTAAACATAGTCCCAACCAGCACAGGTGCAGCTAAGGCCGTGTCCTTGGTCTTACCCCAGCTTAAGGGAAAGCTCAATGGCATTGCCCTCCGTGTCCCAACCCCTAATGTGTCTGTTGTTGATCTTGTTGTCAATATCGAGAACAAAGGTGTCACAGCTGAGGATGTAAACAACGCCTTCAGGAAAGCAGCAGCAGGTCCATTGAAGGGTGTGTTGGAAGTGTGTGACATCCCTCTTGTGTCAGTGGATTTCAGGTGCACTGATGTCTCATCTACAATTGACTCATCTCTTACCATGGTCATGGGTGATGATATGGTCAAGGTTGTTGCTTGGTACGACAACGAGTGGGGTTACAGGTGAGATAATCTGATCAAACAGGCACTTATTTTGTGTTCTGAATTTTGTTTTTCTAAAAATAATCCCACCAAAGATTTTTAGCATGAAGATAGCTAGCCGAAAGTTATTAAATGCAATTCATTCAATGTGCTGTGGTGTTTTTTGTAGCCAACGGGTGGTGGACTTGGCTCACCTCGTAGCAAGCAAGTGGCCGGGAATGGAGGGAACTGTCCCAAGTGGAGACCCATTGGAGGATTTCTGCAAGGACAACCCTGCTGATGAGGAGTGCAAAGTTTACGAGTAGATTACAATGTGATCTCCTATATCTTATACCACTTCCATTTCTTTTTATTTTTTTGGTTATTCAGCATTTGGCCTAATACAAAGGCTGCACATTTATATATTTATAACACAGTTGCATCAGCTTCTCATTTTGTAAATTGCTGGCAGCCCAAGGCGTAAGAACAATCTGTGAGGTTAATAAATCAAAACCACATTCATAATTTCCAATCTGAATCTGTAAGGGACTAGATCTAGATATTCCAGTGAGTTTTACTGGCACTTCTGAATAAACTTGACCATTTGTTAAACTATTCCAAAGAAACTCGGTGATCTTTGGAGATTATGATATCAGAATAATCTATTCAACAGAATTTAAACGCGCTGTTTTGCAATCTGATATATTCAGATAGTTTCCAACATCTAGCTTTGCAAGATACAAGCGCCAAAGACTCTACAAATCAATTGTATCTATAAAAATTGTAAGCTGATGCAGTTATGACTTGCTTCTAAATCACTTTCACTTCAATGAGCCTTCAAGTATCCTCCCATACGAAGGCTGATAACTCGGACGTGTCACTGACTGGCAGCTACAAACAATGCTTAATCGTATGTACATTAGTGGATCTTGCTCATTGAGAAACCATTAATCTAACTGCAAATATCTTTGTGTTATGCACTGACAGTCATATTGATTATTGAGAGATAAAATAACTCATCAATTGAACGTACAAAAGATTATTAGGCATGTAATCGGTATTTTTATGGAAACATGATTCAATTATTTTGGCTGGTGTGCTTGTTTAGCGTAATTTATTGATTGTTCTTCATATTTACTTGTAAATTGCATGTTTATATTTAATTAATTGATTGATTGCATGTTTATATTTATAATTTGATTGATTCCAAGTTTAGTTTAATTGATTGTATAATACATCAAACATTGGATTTTTGCCACAACTAATTGTACTTCAAACATTGGATTGATTCCATGCTTAATCGTATCATAATTCATTCGACATATATAACTGGTTCGTTTTGTTTGATAATTAAAAACGGAAGACGAGAATTTGAAAACCACAAAAACTATAAACATTGAATTTTCTGCTGTTAATTTTAATATTACGATGAGTAATTGATGATTGTATGAATTTACATTGCTCGGTATACTTTATTTGTCCAGCTATCAATTTGGTACTAATTCAAAATTGATTTGTTTTATTTAATTGTAGGTTGAAATATACCTGGAAGAAATAAATATGAATGTTGATTTGTAACTTAAATTTTTGATTTTTGCTAACTAATTATATATATATTTTTTTTCCGCTAGTTAAAAACGAGATACAAGAATCTGAAACCCATAAATAATAATATTGAATTTTTTTGCTGTTAATTTTAATAATATGATGATTGTATGAATACATTGATGGGTATAATTTAGTTAAAAATTAATTTGTTTAATTTAATTGCAGGGTGAAATAGACATAGAAGTAATAAAGAATGGTGATGAACTTAAGTTTGATTATTGCAAGAACCAAATATTAATAACTCGTGCAGGCGCAGCGAGTGATTTGAAGATATCTCTGGATTACCTTCCTTGTTATCAGGGAGAAAAAGGAGATCGTGGTATCATCCTGTCATCTTGTAATAGGTTGCTTCTTTGCTCTAATGGTATTCAAGGAGATAGAGTTGTGTTTTATGTATGTAACCCTGTCACCAAATAATTAATAATTAATAATTAATAATTAATAATTAATAATTAATAATTAATAATTAATAATTAATAATTAATAATTAATAATTAATAATTAATAATTAATAATTAATAATTAATAATTAATAATTAATAATTAATAATTAATAATTAATAATTAATAATTAATAATTAATAATTAATAATTAATAATTAATAATTAATAATTAATAATTAATAATTAATAATTAATAATTAATAATTAATAATTAATAATTAATAATTAATAATTAATAATTAATAATTAATAATTAATAATTAATAATTAATAATTAATAATTAATAATTAATAATTAATAATTAATAATTAATAATTAATAATTAATAATTAATAATTAATAATTAATAATTAATAATAATTAATAATTATTAATTATTAATTATTAATTAATAATTAATAATAATTATTAATTATTAATTAATAATTAATAATTAATAACTAATAATTAATAATTAATAATTAATAATTAATAATTAATAATTAATAATTAATAATTAATAATTAATAACTAATAATTAATAATTAATAATTAATAATTAATAATTAATAACTAATAACTAATAACTAATAACTAATAACTAATAACTAATAACTAATAACTAATAACTAATAACTAATAACTAATAACTAATAACTAATAACTAATAACTAATAACTAATAACTAATAACTAATAACTAATAACTAATATTAATATTTAATATTTAATAATTAATAATTAATATTTAATAATTAATATTTAATAATTAATAATTAATAATTAATAATTAATATTTAATATTTAATAATTAATAATTAATAATTAATAATTAATAATTAATATTTAATAATTAATAATTAATAATTAGTATTTAATAATTAATAATTAATAATTAATAATTAATAATTAATAATTAATAATTTACAATTAGTAATTAACAATTAGAAATTAATAATTAGTATTTAACAATTATTAATTAACAATTAGCAATTAATAATTAGTATTTAACAATTAATAATTAGTATTTAATAATTAATAATTAGTATTTAATAATTAGTATTTAATAATTAATAATTAATTATTATTATTCAATAATTAGTTTTTAATAATTAGTATTAAAATGGAGTAATATTAGTAATTTATAGTATATTACTATTGATAATTATTAATTTATAACTTATATACAATTATTGTTAATTAATAACCAATAATTAATTTGAATTATAACTAATTATTTTAAAATTATTGTAAATAATTAATAATTAATTTACAATTATTATTACCAATAATTTATTATTTTAATTAATATTAATGTACTATATTAGTTCATTAGTGTTGATATTGTTTAACAACAACTAGCACCCAACAACCAATTTATCAAACACTACAACAAACACTACAACTCTAGTTAAACAGCCGACTCAAAAGCCAATCTAAACAGCCAGTCAAACCAGCCAACTTAAACAGCCGACAGCCAACATCCAACAGCCAATTGCCAAACTGGGCCATTGTGTTTTTTGGTCTTTGATTGAGTATAGGGGGGTCGTGAGGGAATTACTAAGGAAAGGTAATTCCTAATATCAGTTAGCAATGATCTTCGAAGTCATTGCTTTTAAAAATTTCTATCTGAAAGAGGCTCCCCTTACACAATGTTTGGGGGTTCATAGCGCTCTGATGAAGTTGTGTCTTATCCCATTCGAGGAGGATAGACCAAATGTACCCTTCAAATGGGTAACGAGTCACAAGAAAATGTGACTCGAGTTATGGTAATAAGCCAAGAATCCCACTTGACTATGCTTAATTTGGATCATTAAGATTTCTCATATTGTGAGCATCAAGTCTTGCTCATAGGTGTCTCTCAATCAGGCCATGGATTTTCGTTCCTTTTACTACTGTCTGGCTTTGTCAAGCTCTATTGGTAATGATTCCTCTTCAAGTATTCGACCCTAGCTTCTACGTCGTCTCCTACAACAGTGCAACCAACATGTGTTATGAGTTGTTGTCAAGGCATGGGATAGGTAAAGTTAGTTTTGACAGGTTCTGCTGCCATCGTGTGTGGGCTTCATTCATTAATCAGGGCTCCAACAAGTGCAAAAGCCGCAATTTACCAACTTTTATTGCTTTGTTTTTGTTTGGTTTGTACAAGCTAGTTTTAAGTGTGTGTTGCTTTTTATTTCCTTTAACTTAGGCTAGGCTGTAATCTTGTCTTTTAATTAATAGATCTCTTTGTCAAAAAAAAACAAAGGAAAAAATGATTAGAATAGTCCCAACTTTGCCCCATTCTTCCAAAATAATCCAACTTCGAATTAATTTTTAATAATCAGAACTTTGATGTGAAGTTTCTTTCAACGGTCCCAAGTGACCGGTAACTTGTTATAAAAGTAATTTTTTTTAATAATATATAATGTACACATGTCATTATGTAATTGGTCAAAATAAGTTTTAAATTAAATTTTTTATTTAAAAATATTATTAATAATAATTAACCGTTAACTAATTATTTTAAGAACTAATTATTTTAAAATTAATTGAAAACTAACTATTTTAAAAATAAATTATAGAAAAGCCACCAGCAGCCACCGTACCCTCCCTGCCCTCCACCCTCGCCGCGATTGCCCCCACCACAGTGTTGCCTAGACTACCCTATCCCCACGCAACCTTCGCGGCTATCAATCTATACCCGCCATGACCCCCCTCCCTTTCCCCGCAACCCTTTTTTGCAATTAATTAACCCCCACCCGCAAACCCATCTACAGCCACAGAATCGAAGCAGAACAAAAAAGCGGTGGGGTTTGGGTGGGATTGCGTTGACTGGGTGTAGGAATTGCGGCGTGCGGGCCGTGTGAGTGGTCAGAGTTAAGGTTGTAGCAGCAAGGGTAAGGGTTGCGGGTGGTTCTTTCACTCTTTGGTTGGGAAAGTTTCCGACCGAATTTACTATTTTCCGACGGACTTTCCCGGTGCCGGAACATCTTAAAGGACGAAAAATTTCCTCGGAAACCATTTTCGACGGATTTTTTCTGCCGGAAATGAGCCTATTTCTAGAAGTGTTCTTAAAAAATTATTTTAAATTTTTTTTACCAATCATATGTTGACACGTGTCAGATAACTTATTATAATGAGATGGATGACCGGTTGGGACCATTGAGACTATTTTGGGAGAATGGGGAAAAATTGAGATTATTCTGGTCAATTTTTCCAAAATAATATGTCCAGATTTTTGCTTTTACAACTATTTCATATCTTGTTTGATTCCTTTTTGTATTGAACAATTTCAATCAATAAATTTATTTTCTTTTTGATCAATATTGTGGTTTAAATTGAAAAATAATGTTGGTTCTATGAAATGCTTGAAAGCTTTAGAGATTGATTATTGATTACTAATTCAAGTAAATAATTAACTTTCCTCAAACTTGACATTACTTATTGTCCTATATGTTGTAGAATAATGGCCTTTTAAAATTTATGTTCTATGCTTAGTATTTGTCTTTCACTTCTCTT